ATAAATGTGATGTCGCTTTTATTTAAATTAGTAAAATTTAAAAACTATGAAAGAAATAACAAAATAAAATACAGGTAATATAAGAATTAAAATTAATTTACAGGGACAAAAAAAGTTAAGTTTTCCTGAAGATTTACCAAGAGTTAATTACTAAAGCATACATACAAAATATTTAATAAAACATAATAAATAAATTATTGTACTCCTGTTTATGTTCCTAAAATAACTGATGTTTTAATAAATAATTTTTACCAAGATTAAGTTGGTAAATGGTAGAATGAGTTATAATTATTATTCGTGCTTGGCGCAACATTTCATTACTTATTTTTATGTGTTTTCTCATAATTTTCATTTATGTTTCTTTATAAGACATTGGGATTATTTTTATATTAAAATAGTTTAAAAGCAACACCTATTCAGCCAAAACTTTTTAACAGAATTAACAATTTAAAAATAGCGGCATGTCTACTCTGCTTTTTTTAACGTTTAAGTCAACAATTTTTTGGTACCTAATACAAATAAAACTTTGTCCGAATTTTCATAGCTATTAACAAAGCAAATAGTGTATTAATATAGTAATTTTTGAATTAAGCATGACATTGATCGACATTGTAACTTTTATAGCTTTAATATTGAAGTAACTTTTATCTCAAAATTTATTTCTATTCGTTACCAGCTTATCCGCCATTAAAATATATAATAGGTATGTAAAGTACGTAATTTTGAGTAAGAAAGAAATGAGTTACCTAAATCATATTATTTCGTATCTCTTGAACAGCAATATTGATTCATTGAAAATTCTTTTCTGTATATTCACATACCTAATTGTGAATAATTTAAATTATAAATTGTGCAAAAAGTACTGGTTAATTTATAGAAATATTCGTTACGAATATGTTTCAATATTGAACAGAACCAAAGCATATTCCTTTATTATTTGAATAATTTATTTTCCGCTTTTTAAATTTTAAATTATTAATTTAAATCATTTGACAAAATCCACTACAAGTCTTTATGTAATGATTATTATTCATCACAAACTGATTTATGTAATAGGAAATAAATTTTCGTTAATATATCTGTTTTGTATAGTAAATTATATTTATTTTAAAATAAAAAATAAATAAATAAATTCCGCTCTTAATTCTAATCTAATCTCTGGCCATACATTGTAAACGCACTATTTTAAAATATTTATATTTTTCTTCATCATCTTTATCACAAGCCCTTTGCAAGCCTTGGCTTGGTCGAGTATATTATACCTCTAGCCTTTTTCTGTACTCATCAAAAATAAATTAACATTTTTATTTAAGAAAAAATTTCTTGAAAAATAAAAATTAAGTTCATGACACTTTAGGTTGTCTTAATTAAGAATTTTTTGTTATGTATATGTCAGATATACATTATTAGAATCGCCTAGTTTTTTTATAGGATAGGGTGACAAACGAGCACACAGTCCACCTGATGTAGTGGTTGCTGTGGCCCATAGACATCTACATCTATCCTCGAATTAGAAATAATATTAGAATCACAATAAAATATTACGTCTATCAGATTTAGAAATAAATTAGACTTATATTTTATCTTAAAACTAAAACACTTGTGAAAAATATTCTTACTTAGCTAACCTTTTAAAAAATATGTGACTTAAGCAAATCTTTACTGAAATGCTAGAATACGAACGAAGGTTACAGTGACGTATCGCAGAAGTTTTCCTTTATTCCCGGTAGTTAGCTACAGCTTTGCTTGCTTGTTCTCGTGCCCGGCTGACCCCTTACTGAGCTCGGAGAGGGACCTTGCGCGCTTCATGCTAGGTGAAAATTTGTTTTCATAATATTTTTTTATTTTTAAATACATTTAATACCAACAAACATTTTCAATTGCTACAAACCGTAATATAACTGTGTCCATGCTATCTGTCACTTTATCTTTCTTTGTACCTACTCTAAAATAAATCTCGAGCCCAGAGACATATGTCAAACAATAAATTTTAATTCATAAACAAAAATTAGACATCTTGCAGATAAATTTTTCGTAATCTACTATTTACTTTGCCTTACCTTTAGCAAATTATAATTAGTGTAAACGAAACGATAAAATAAAAGCTTTTAGGCCGTTTTAAATAAGAAAAACTCAGTTCAAAGAGGTACTCGGTTTTAAGTTTTTATTTCTTCATAGTTTTTTAAAGTATGCAATTCATTTAAATTGTAAGTCAATCAAATCGAAACGTTCCATACCTTTACAACGTACTGACAAAATTTGCAATTGCAATTGGCGGAGACTTAGCATACTGAACAAACGAATATTTAAATTTTTATTTATAGAAAACAATGAGAAATACTAAAAAACGAAAACGAAATATTAAAAAATATATACCTAATATATTGTAATAGATATAATATGCACACTCCCTCTACATATTCTTGTCTTTGTGTAGACTTTATAGTCTTTTAGGAATATTAAAGAATCAAATTATTTAAAATTGCAGATTGCAGTACAGCAACGCGATAGTGGTCGCTCAATTAGATTTTTTTTTTTTGTTATTTAAGGATATAGGGGTGGAGTAAAATTATGTTTGTCGCATGCAAATCTACGAATGTGTATTTGTATTCCTTAGTTGAATTTTACCTCTCGGGGTCAGCGAAGTCTACATCGGGCGGCAGGTGCATGGAATGGCGGCCCGCGAGCCGTTGCAACAGTCTGGCGGAGGAGCGCCGCAGGGTTTCGCGAAGTTTCGAGAAACTTGCGCTGCGAGACGCTTCGGCCGCGTCCTGCCGCGCGAGTGTTATGCAATTTACACTCAACTTCACGCTTCACTTCCAACCAATTTAAGCAAATATTTACATTCATATTTAACCAATTTAGGCTCCACTGCGTATAATTTTGAAACCTCATGTATGTTCGCTATTGAGTTTAAGAGTTTATTTGAATTGTCGGTGCACTTTTATTTAACTTAAGCTGACAAAAATATTTAATTTCCTTCTCAATTCAAGGAAATTATCCGAATTTAGGCTTCACTGCGTAATTTTGAAACCTCATGTATAATACAGGTGTGTTCGCTATTGAGTTTAGAGTTTATTTGAAATGTGAGTGCATTTTAAAACTTAAGCAAACAAAAATACTTGATTGCCTTCTATTCTATTACATAAATTTTATTTTAGTGCATTATTATCTTTATAAGATGATAGTGTTAGATGTCTGTTTGGATGTTTATCGTTCAATCAAGCTGAAACGGCTAAAGGGATTTTATTGTAATTCGATATTCAGATACAGACAAAAAAGTGGGCGAGTAACAGTAACTAGCGTTTTTTTTTTTTAAATTGAGCCGCCATGCAGGCTAACGCCTGAAATGTATTGGCGGCAAAGTTTAACAGTTAGGAAATATGCTAAAAATTAAAATTGTTATTGTTATGATAAAATCTAAAATGATAGGTACTTAGTGAATTTTGCATAAATTTTGCAGACAAAACATTTATGAACAAAATGTTGTCATGCATCTACACAACTAACAGCAAAAGCCGTTAAATGATGGTAATGTCGGTGCGGTGGATGTACGTGTTAAAATATTGGTTGTTTTTTTTTTTTCAATTTAGTTACTTCATGTATAAATTGCATAACACAGTAGACTCGCCATTAAAAGCTTAATTAAAAAATAAACGAAAATAAAACAAAAAGTTATAATATTACATAAATATTTATTAACAATAAAAAAAAATATCATTCGACAACGCGATATCAAGACGAAACAAAATCAAAATGAATCTGAAATACCTGTTGCGAGGAGTTTGGATACAATAGAGATTCTTGATCGGTTACATTTTTGTATTCAGATTCCGTTACAACTGTATTTTTAATAATAAAAATTCTGTTTCCATAATAAAAAGGCATTAAAAATTGTAATCCAGAAGCAGCACCCGCATACAAAATATAATCAATGTATATAAAAATACTATATTAATATTTATCACCTAAACTCTCACATAAAGCTTAACCAAACATACTCTACCCACTGGAATGAACCTTATTACTGATTATAAGAAAAGAAACAAGAATAATAAAAGACCAAGTAAACAGATTAAAAAAATTCTAAACATTCGTAATAATAAAATCACATTCATGTATTCTTCTATAAAGAACACAACAATTATGACATCCGCAAATTAAAAAATATTTCGTAAGCTATTAAAATAAAATCGGCGACTGGACATGCACAGAAACTTACATTATTATAAATATTATAGATTATATTTGAATTAAATAAATGCAATTTAAAATTTCGCCAGAGCTAAACATAATTAATATACATTCAAATAAACATATAATTATGAATTATATCAAAACTGATTCTTTAGCGTAAATGCACCATTTTCCTATCCGTACATTAAAATTCATTGGAATAAAATTGCTCTGGAAATTTAAATTGAAACATTAATAAATTAAAATAAAATGTATCTATATAAAATGACACTCCCAACAACAATTTTGTCATGATGGTAAAATATCTCTTCGAACTTGCACGTCAGAGACGAAAATGAATGGAAAAAATATTTTTGAAAGGACGGTTCACATGCTTCAAAATAATTTCTCTATCATACACCATGATTTCGTAAATTCAATAACACTATTATTTTTGTATGTTTTAAGTTTTAACTTACAGCATGCTAATAAATACGACTACTAAAAGCTACATGGCCCGCCATTTTACATTTTATAGAATCAAGCCGTTTATAAAATCTGAGTCTGGTATTATTAAAAGGCTAAAAAGAACGGCGTGTGCTTTCATTACATATAGTATCAAATAAAATGTACTATAAAATACAATAAGGCGGACGGTGAATTGAGTGTGAAACGTGTGAAGGCCCCCATATATAATAAGCGAGAAAATGCTTTGCAACGAGAGATATCAAACTCTGCAGATGCTTCGAACTCACTGAGGGCCATCACCGTTGAAAGCGAGTGATTACTTAAAAGCTAAACCCTAGGTTAGGTCTTAATCTAGGCTACTGGTGCGGTGTGTTACTCCCCGTGTTGATACCTAGCGCATTGAACAGTTTCGACTTTAGGTTCATGCGTGGCTCGCTCGCTTGATTCGTGCCCTAAAATTGAAACAAAAGAAAACAAAACAAAATCAAAATGTGCAAAAAAGGGCAAAAAGCGTGTTCGTGTAAATATAGTAAATCACATAACGTCACTTTAAATATGAAGCAATTATAATAGGGTAAAGAGATATATAATAATTATATTGAGTCTTAAACATAAATACTTTTGACACAGTAGTGGAATAAACCAATACAAAATAATATTATAATAGTTTATGAAAAACTGAAGGTAGATGGAAAAAATTAAAATATTTAAAATTTAAATTTCTAAAAGGCACACCTAATGTACGGTTATTTTCCCAATTGATTATGCAACCCTATATTGATTTTGCAACACTGCCAATTTGTTGACAATAACAACATTACAACAATGATGTACGAATTGTGAATATATTAAATGTATTGAAATTGAGTATGATGTAATGACAGTCAAATTTTTGATATTAGGGAAATGCTTGAAATTTGAGTTGCAAGATTCCACCAGGAACGATAGACAGACAGACAGATAAGAAACTGACTTAATAACAAGTGGTGATATAAAAAAATTTGTACAACCGACTTCAATACGACCGATTCTATGTATTCCAAGTAAATTAAATACGCATTATTTAAGGCTAACAAAAACTAATGGTCAGATCTTTATCAAATTTATGAGGAACTACACGAGAAGCACTATTGTTCAAATAAAAAAGGAATCCTCACATAAAAAATATACAGACGAATAGAATACCTACCCCCTTTTTGAAGTCGGTTAAAAACGTAATGTTTGAGATTTTTTAAAAATTAATTTTTCTTCACTATATTACTTATTCTGTACCATCTCCGAAAATTTGGCCGTATATTGCAAAATAACCCTGAATATAGTTATCTAAGCATTTTTCAAGCAAATTATTATTTTGAATAAGAATTCGAATCGATCGCACGAATTGAAATTCGAATAAATTTCAAGTAGTCACAAAATTTTCTTGAATATAATTTATTGCAGCCCCTGGGCGACCCAAAGCTTGTATCTCTATAATAAATGGGGGGGGGGGGTTTACGCCTTTTTTTTACTTCTGTTATGAACACTCATGAGAATAGCGTGAGAAACCAACGGTCGATATAAAATAACAACGAGTATACAGGTGTTTTACAGCAGTGATCCACGTTGAAAGCTCACATGCATATTGAAAAAGCAAATACATTAAATCATTAAGTGACACGAAAATACACTATTGTTTTCCTATTAAATGAAGTAACAGATTTATACTAGAAAAATTTATGCAAACGTCTATCGAAACCAATCATTGTGGAAGTGGAACCCGAATGTCGAGAAAGGAAGAGTAGATAGAAAAATAATTGTATAGAGAGTAATAACCAAAAATAAAGAAAACAACGACATTTTCATTTTAACACAAATGCTTACTTAATTTGGGGCTAATTATTAAGTGTGCGTAAATTTATAAATCGAGAGGTTTGTTCAACTTGTAGATTAATATGTTAAGCACATGAACTCGATACGTCTTAATCGAAAATTCAAATTTACCTACTCCACCTTTCTAGAACCATAAGCAAATGTGAACACAGCTGTATCTAATCCAGAGTGATAGGACACAGGACAACACAAAAGCCCTAGGCCGCAGTCCTAACCTCGTCGTGATGATCCTGATGGGGTTCCATTGACTCACGGCTGCCCTGCCGGCCACTTCTTGCACGAGACTGTTTCACGATGTCCAATGCCTAATGTTGAATTTTCAATACAATAGCTTTTAAACTTTACTGTGACTTTATATCAATGTCCGATTGAAGTTATAATCAGTAACATAGCCTTATTAATTTTAATTAAAAACAGCACAGATTTAATTACGTTAAGTTTAAAACTTTGATCCATTCAGTTCTGCCTTTTCGTTGTTCTTTATCGATTGATTGATATCAAATTGTTAATCTTCCAAGTTTCATATTATCTTCTAATTATTTTTGTTTACAGATAACTCCCGTTTGTTTTTAAATTACCAATTAAATTTATTTCTTAACTAAATTCTACCACCACATTTATATATTATTTTAAACTGTGCTGTTACCTCACTGTATTTGCTTTGGGACATTCTAATCCAATTTCCAATTAACAGTTTCTGTTTTCTGAACGTATCAGTAGCATTTTAAGTGGTATAGTCTAATATATGATAAGTTGGATGACACTTGATGAACTCTCATTATAGGCACCATGTCATTGCATATGTTATTAATTAAAAATACTATAGTAAAATGATAATGTATATTATATATACTGAATACCATAATTGCTTCAATTATGGCAATACTAAACATATAGAATAACGGTTAATTCTAAAGTGTTACTGAACATTTTATGCTATAATAAACTATAGTCAAGACCCTAAACAAAGTAAATGAGAAACTTAACCAGTAATTTTTGTCATTTTTGGTAAGGTAACATTATCAACAAGTGATTTTTCTTTAATATTTTAATGTCTTGTTATAAAGAAATCTTACTCAAGTAAATGAAATGTCTTCTTATGTTAACGAAACGTAAAAATAAAAAAAATTATGACCACGATGGAAAAAGGTATAAATGCTGTGGCATATGGATCTACTTTGGATCTACTTTATGTATTGCACTAAATTGTATCAACCATTTCATTCATATTATATAAACAAAGGGTCGGTCAATACAACACTACAGCTTACTTAAACAAACATCAACATTATTCTGAATGAACACTTGCTTTAGTTACGTACTTTTAAATTATATTTGCAGCATATTCTCTATAATTAATACATTTTTTTTTAATTTTCTAAAATATCAAGCACCAAATACAAAATCAATTAAGTCTTAATAGTCATTTTTAAAATAAATAATATAGCCATACAGTGAATTTCATACATCAAAATAAGATGTAGATGAATAAAATTACTTATTTATTTAAACACAGTGCCAACTGCTTAGACCTCAGTTATTTTTCTCGGTGCGTTATTATTTGCAGCTTGCTTTTGCAAAACGAAATGTTTGCTCCAGTTGACATTTTTATCATTGTTGCGACTTACTTGTTGGACGTGCTGGCAGCGTGCAAATGGAGATAATTCGATCAATTTGTGCCCCAATATTAGCTCACAATACAATTACATTATAATACTTTGCAAAATAAATATTAAAATTATACTGGTTGTGTCTGTGCGTTTTAAAAAATAAATAAATAAGCGATAGAGATACGTTAAAACAAGAAATCGATATATATATCCAATTACAATTAGTAGGAAATGTGTTAAAGAACGTAAGATTTTTTAAATAAACAATATTTTGAAAAGTTTAACTCCGGAATGCCAATTATTATCACAAATAATAATAAACCATAGACAAATTCAGACATAGAAAATATATCACGTGTCTCAGAAATCAACGTTAAGCCGAAAACGGGTAATTGGCCAAGTTGTGACAGTTACTAAGAAAATATAAAAAAATCTTAATAAATCTTATTCTTTAAAATTATAAGGATTCAAAATAAAATCTCAAAACCGACAACCTGTGATGATCTTTGAGTGCTGTGACTGCAAATATTAACTTTTCGTCAGTTCTTTTCTGTGATGTAATCATCAATAACCCTTCTGTAAATTACACTTAAAAGTAAAAACATAGCTGCCTCAGTTAAATAAAATGCTAGATTTTGGCCCAACATTGAAAAAAATTAACTACATCACAAAAAAAATGTACTATAGTATTTTGGTAAGTAACTTTAAAAGATGGTACTTTTTCGAAATTGGTATGACACTTACTAATTGGTACTTCTTAATTGAGGTAAAACATTTTTTAATGAAGCCGGTTTTCATACAAGTTCGATTGAGACAAAGAGTGACGTTATTTTGACTAGTGTTAGCAAGACATATTGGGTGCGTTTGGCAGAAAAAAGCGCTAGCATGCGCTTGTAAGCAAAATGGCGAAACTAAACAGTTTTCGGCCAGGACACGTTTGCTAACTTCAGTAGCGCTGACACAATCCGCTATTTTGCTTATTTATATTGTTTGTTTTGAAGTAGAGTTTATAAGTTGTTTTGTGCAATATTAGTTTTAAGTAATAATATAATGACATGAATAGACATATACATGTTATTAAAAATTCATGATTGGTAAGTTTTTAATATGAATACTTTACAAACATATATTTAAATTAGGTTAGGTTCCCCGGTTAAAACTAACTTCGCGTCCTAGAGGAAAATAGCTACTTAAGATTTGACAGCGCTTGCCGCTTACAATCGCCATTTTGCTTACAAGCGCTTGCTAGCGCTTTTTTTGTGCCAAACGCACCCTAGTGACACGACTTTGTTAAGTGTGAGCGAGATAGATAGTGACGCTACTTTTGTATAAGAGCGAGACGGATTGACACATAATTTCGTCTGTGTGAGTGAAACAGATAGAGATAGGGATGCGTAGACACATTGGGTGCGTTTGCAAACGCAAAAAAAAAGCGTGCATAGGTTTCTCTCAACACAATAAAAAATATTAAAAAAAACTTTTTTAAAAATAAAAATTATATAACAACTAAAAAAAAAAAAAAAAAAAAAGGGCATCCAAGACCCCTGCACAAATTTTCCTCGCCCTTTTTTGCCTCCCCCTTTCTCAGTGCAATACTGCTGCAATATGTTAGGCTCTTTTGTTTACTGCACATTTTTTTGTATTCGTATTGACTTCGTACTTACAACGTGGCTTTGTTTATTGGACTTGATTTGCATTGTGATTTGGATTTATCTGCATCGTTTCTGTCGACCCCGGATTTGTTTTAATTGTAATCCCGTGTTTGTGTAGTGGTTACTATACCATCTCGATACACTGCACAGGAATACGCCAACATGCATCTCAATTATGAAGAATTCTTATGCAACGCCAATGTTGCAGCAAGAATGTATTATGAAAGATACTCAAATGCTGAGCCTAATCCCGATCATCGAGTATTTATTAATGTGCATCGATCATTCTCAGAGGGTCGATACCCTAGTCAAATCTATCCATCCTATTTATTCATGGTTACATCACAGAAAAAAACTAACGAAAAGTTAATTTTTGTAGTCACAGGACTTGAAAGATCATCACAGGTTGTCAGTTTTTTAGACTTTTTTTTTTTAATTTGAAGAGTACATGACCAAGATTTATATTTATATTTTTCTAATAACTGTCACGACTTGGCCTATTGTCCGTTTTCGGCTTAACGTTGATTTTTGCGACACCTGTATCTTTGCGAGAAATTGGTATTATTTTGAATCGATTCAGCAGCATTCTCGTATGGCTCACAGGAGATCAATTATTAAATCAAACCCTTTTCTAAATGAATACAAAATTTGCTTAAATTTAGCAATAAAAGTTGTTACAAAAAGCAATATCGAATCGAGAGGGGCTTACAGACAAGATTCGGACATCTACATTGGCGTATTATAGGGGGACCCACACCAAGGGTTACTAAATCAATATTCTAGGGTAGATACTTAAATAAGGTCATACAAAACGTTTTAAAATAAGTAAAAATTTTAAAACGTTTTTGTATATAATAAATAAAATCCTACAGGTAAGATTTTATGTTTAACATTATTTTTACAGTTATTATAAAAATTGTAAACATAAAAATGAACTATTTTTTATATAAAACTGAAATGATGGTAAGTGGCCACAACAGGCCATAGACATGACATTTAGCATAAGAAAAGAAAACTGTGTAACATTTATTTAAATGTGTTACAACATATGACAGTAAAGTTATTTATCACCATAGAATTAAAAAAAAATCATTTGTAACTGCGACGCTAAACGTGACTTGGGCAGTAAGTAGCTAGCAGTTATCCACAACTTTAAAAAGGAGCATAATTTGACAAATAACGACTTTATTGTACAAATCTTGTTGTCTTTTTGACAGTCAGCTCCTGGTTTTGTAACTCCTCCTGACTTGATGTTGTATTTTGGAACACCTATAAATTCTACTGGGCATTTTATGGTAGCAAACTGTGAAATGTAATGTCGCAATTCAACAATGCATAATGCCAAATTATTTTTTTAAAAATAGACACCTTCCTGGATTTGACTAAGATTTTTCCTCGCAGATATAAAAAAATTTAAATGAGTTTGATTTAATACAATTTTACAGAAACGGAGTGATGTAGCAATTCTGTATTAAATAAATTAGTGCAGTTAAGGCCCTTCCGTTCTTTATTGGCACAACACCGGTGCAACGTTTGCCTAATATGCTAGACCTCGTCTCACGTATACCGACACCGCGTACATCTCTCGATTACCAGCTATTTATTGCGTTGCATCTGACAATTTTTTTATTTGTCCTCGTCAAATGAAGGCGAGAATATAATTTTTTACTTTTATTTACTACTATTGAAAAACAATTTATATCTTTGATACAACTACACATACGAGGGGTGGTCAATAATTTCGCGGAATGGAGAGGAGAGATAAGGTCGCTTTTTTATCCCTGTTCTAATTAAGGCAGTTATTAATCGAAAAAGAAATATCCTGGCCTCCGTTTCCTGAACTTATTTCTTTTCCATCGTAATAAGAAATCATTAAGGGCTACTATTTAGAAGGATGAGTGATTAACATGTCATCGTTTATTGCTAAACCGTATTTAAACCTCTTTTATTTAAAAGAAGTTTCATTTCTTGGTGTTTCTAGGAGGAACAATATCGAGGCTCACCTCTTTCCTGCTGCGAAGTGCGCAATCCTCCAGGGTCTCGGCAGCCTCGTATTTGCCCTGGCGTCGGTATAGAGCTCCGAGGTTCTTCAGGGTCGTGGTAACGGTTGGAGAGTCAACCTGGAATAATTTATAATCATGAAACGACGATGTATGAATTATCTGATCGAACGAATATGAATTATTTTTCCAAAGATATCAAGAATGCTTAGATCAGCGTGAATAAATAAAACTGAAATAGCTGGACGCATTCTTCTTGACACTGTTGTCGCCAATCAGCATAGCGTGGCAACTATGGCAAATATCCTCTCCGTATGATAAAATCTATGGAGGAAAATATAATCTATGTTCAGCAGTGGAATTTTGAAAGGCTATAATTATGGAGTGTAGAAGTAAGGAGTATTAACTCCCATAGTAGAATAGTTGAAGAAGTGTCCATCTGTAAGCAGTAAATAACAGTTCAAAAACTCTCCACAATAGCGCTGGAGTAGCTACTGGGATGAAATGAACTTAGCAGTTATCGACGGTTTAAGTGTGCTGCTAAACTGCTCAGTAGCTCTAAAATCTAAAATAATTTTATTTAGTAAATATTATAACCTCGAAAAAGTCTTCTATCCCATTAATATCTTTCGGCACGTTCTTTAAAATTTACCACTATACGCCACCCTTATTTAACTGTTTTCTATGGACACTTTTTAATACACAGTCTGTACTCCTTACTTCTACACTCCATAGCTATAATAAATTGCAGAACACCTGTGTCCATACTTCATTGTTATCTCATGAAGATTAAATTTCTTATTACACTAAAATCTATGCTAAACTAAACAGAAAATTACAGCACTTCAGAATAAAAAATTATGCATTGGTTAATTTCACATTTGCGAATATGTGAATTTAAAATATGATTTTTTACCTTAGCAGCCTTATGCCATCCGCCATATTCTCCATAGGGCGTGTTCTCTTTTTGCAGATGCTTATTCTCCTCTCTTTCTTCTGCCACCTGCCAGATCGGTTTGTTGTCACCTGTAATATACCCAATATTTTTAAATCAAGTCTTGCTCATAGCAATGAAAATCTTATAGCTAAGCTTAAATAAGTTAACAGTAATTAATATTAATAAAGCTATTGTATATTATATAACCGTATCGTGGCGGTGTAATATCCACTACCCTAGATCCTCCCGTGGGTGTCGTAAAAGGGAAATAAACCAGGAGATGGGCAGCATCGTCTTTCTGTACACAACAAAAAAACTTTAAAAAAAACCTGTGGTCCTCCCCCCCCGCCTACAACTATAGCAGCAGCGCGTGACATCTATGGCAAGTATCCCCCCTAATGATTTCTTATATTTACGTGAACACTACACATTTAACAAAACTATTTATACGAATTTTATCGCGTTTAATTATTATTAATTCCCGACGTTTCGGGTGCTTTACAGCACCCATGGTCACGGGAGGAACTACGATGTTTAACGTCCCAATGTTAGCGTGACGTCATAGTTAGCCTGCCTGTCTTCAGTTTTTGAATATAAATTTTTGGTCCGACCTAAGCAGAAGAAGCTTATAGTATCTTGAAGTCTTGCTGCTGTATCCCAAGCAGACGGCAGCACCCGTCTATCTTCTCTACTGAAATTAGGATGTTTTCAATTTCAATAGACTCGCCCCCCGTGACCATGGGTGCAAAGTACCCGAAACGTCTTAATTGAGCACGATGAAGTCCGTATAAATAGTTTTATTCAAACATCCCTCTATGAGGGGGGAGGCCTTCGTTCAGCAGTGGATTTAATGAGCTGTAAATATTACCACTAGGTAGTAATTGGTAGTTGCATTTGGTGATGTTGACTGCAATAAATATTTTTTTAAAACATCTTCGATTTTATGAAAAACCGAATTGTAATGAAACTGAAAATGGATGCCTATGCCAGATAAAAGAATTAGTAAATAGTTTGTAAAATATAAAGATAAAAATATTACAGCAATGAACAAATGATGTCTCGTAGCCTATAATATTAATGATAATCTGAAAAAATACTTATATAATAATTATTTCAGAATTACACATTAAACTAACTCCAATTAAAACGAGAATTTGTAACAAATATATATCCTTTTTAAGAAAAGTATTATTAACACATTCACGGAAAGTACGCCCATTTTCGTGACATTCTGAATTTATATTACGACACAACGCCTATTTACGATAAAATATTTTTTTCCTTATTTGCCACTACGTAAATAAGCGCGGTATTCGTTTACGGTTAATATGAAGATCTACTTTTACTGTCATAACCCAAACAGTATCAAGATTGTACTGTCACAACATAAAATTTTATGATAGTAAATGTGTGATACACATGTTGCGGCACCACGAATGTAGCCGTTGCGTTCGCGTCGTGAGTCAAACGAACCAGTCGCGTAGTGTCACCGGGAGGTGACGACACGCTCGCTTGCGTCAAATCGTTCGTCGTCGTTCGTTGAATACTTACGTGTTTTTCCTGGTAAGTAATTTAGTGTTATAATACGTTATTGTCTGTATAAAGATAACCGAATAGTAACCAGTCTTTCAAAAATGGTTAATACTTATTGTATTAAAAAACCGTTAGCATAAAAAACACGATAAATTTAAAAATATAATGGAATAAACTTCATATTATTTTGTAGGTAAGTATCGATTTTTTCTTTTGTTGTGCGTCTAATTCTCTTTCAATTGTCTTCAGATGGCCTCAAAAAGAAACAAATTGAGCAGAGGCAAGCCAAAATCTTTGTTTCGAGATGATGAATCTAACCACGATCCATATTCTGACGATGATGGTGAATATGGTTCAGACCACAATTACGAGCCCGCTGATGAAGATGGCAGCAGTGACTACAGTGAAATTTTCGATGTTCATAGAAGTCGCTTTGAACGGAATAGACAAAGAATTGGGTCTGAAAGCGAGAAGTCGTATCATGGTTCTGCTGGCGATCAAAGCGATAATGGCGAGCAGTTAGACCAGAATTCTGTTAATGAAAGAAACTTTGATGAAACCGAACGTGATTCCGACATAAGCGATTGTAGTATTTTCGATCACCATCAAATTCAAGTAGCAGGGAATGAGAAAGAAAGCAGCGTTCAAAGGTATGAAAGTCAAGAGAACAATGTTGTTAGAAATCATAAAGATAACAATGATATTCACTTACAACAAAATTATGAGCTGGCAGCACGACTATTTCGTGCCACGTACATAAGCGTACTGTCATTAGAAGACTATAACTTTGACTACGATATGACAGCACGATTATTTCGGGCCACGTACAGAAGCGTACTGTCTCACCACAATTGTACAAATATATTGCTATGTGTCAGGAAGTATATAGGCGTGGTAGTAATTTGTATGGAATTTTTTAGTGTCATATTTCAAACTTGGTGCAGTGTCCAGTATCCGTGAAAGTGTTAATCAATATTCTATAGTAAAAAAAAAACATTAACAAGTTCTCGTTTGGTACATAACTTAAAGAAAAAAAAAACAATGTGACACAAGTCGGGAAGGTGTGACACAATTGGTAGTTCAAGTGAAAAAATAAAAAAATAAAACCAAATATATACAAAATGCTAGCCTTTCCTACCTGTGCCACACTTATATGAAATCCAAACTTGTGTCACTCACCTATGTATAACTTTTGTCACATCTATCTTCTTCAAACTCATGTATAATAAGGATTAAATAAATTACAAAAAATTGTCTTAACCTTAAGCATTTAATAGTCAAAATAATACATACAGTTAAAAGTGATGCTGTCAATAATTAAAAATATAATCTTCAATAAATTTAACATTTGTTAAAAACAAACTTTTATATAATTTCTTATTCCAAGATTAAAACAATAAATAACCTCCAAAATATTCAGTCAAATTTAAAATACAAAAGCATCTAAGGCACATTTATTTCTTGATTTTTGCTTTGGCAACATTAAACTTCAATTTTGGTATTTTTTAAAACAATCTTACTAATTCCCTTTTTTTTTAGATAAAAGGGAGCGGAAATTGTTACTTATTCTAAAATACACAGTTTTTCTATGAAAACTCATAGAAAAGGTGTACCTTCTAAGTTTTTCGTTATTTCCTAAAGTGTCTCTTTTTATTACATTATATTGTATATATATATATATATATATACTATGCGCGCAGGATAAGGATAGGATTAAAGTCACAATCACTCTTTAACATAATTACCATTTTCAGCTCATTAATTTAAATTATTAACAATAAAAAAAATGGATTTAATGTGATTTTTAGTGGATTTTATACAACGAAGTTGAAGTTAGTACGCAATGCGAAGTAACACCTAAATAGCTACAAACTCTGTGGTTTCGATGTTAACACCCACTTCAGCTGACCTCTCATCCGTACGGGTCTCTCCGTCAGCGTTAATCCCTCTTATCTTGCGCACATAGCATTGACTTGAACTAAAATACGATTACTTGTAATGAAGCATATTTAGATTTACGCATTTGCATGTCGTCGTAACATATACAGGGTTATTTTCCAGAGTAGCCAAATTTTAAACTTAAGTTCAAATATAAAATAATGACAAACCGTTATTGCAGTTTTTGAAAATAAGAGTAAATAGGCTACTTTTATTTGAAATTATTTCAAATTGAATGTGATTATGGGCAACAACGTTTTCGCCTACCGTTCGACCCTTACGTATGTGTGCTTGAACAGTATAATCAGTTGAAATCATAGAATACTATAATACACTATAGAATGGCTGTCAACCTTGTTTTGTACGGGGTTCGGTGTCGCCGGGAGCACACATACAAGCAATTACGTCGTAATATCACAAATACAAGCCCGATTCGCGAATTTACACATTTTAGACTTTTGATTAATGTTTTTGACACATCAATATTTCTTTATTTTTGTTTCTAATATTCACAAAATATAAACAATTTCGACTTACTGGTTGTAGAATATGTCTCCATTACTTATATTTCATTACCCACTATTCTTTCGACACGTAATTATTGCACAATGTGCCATTTTTTAAATAATTTGCATGTCGCGTGCGTGTTGTTTGCGATGCTTGACACGAAAACTGGAAACTATTGATTGTGTTGATATTTATAGGTGTGAATTGACATGTTAGTGACTACACGGGCTCCGCCCACTCCCTCGTTCTATTATGTAAGCATTATAGTATTCTATGGTTGAAATAATGCATTACCACGCATTTTGACTTTAAAAGATAACAAGGACAGAATGTTTGAAATTATTTAGTTAATTTTATAATATATATTAAGTTTAATTATTAAGTTTTCATAACCATTTGCCTATATTACTTATTCTGAACCATCTCTGCAAATTTTTCCGGTTATTGTGAAATAACCCTGTATAATAAATATATATTTTAATATATCTTCATTTTTGTTTTTTTTTTCATACAAATATTATATTAATACCTTTTATTCACCGAAATTAAATTTGAATATAGTCAACAACTTAATCAGTCAACTATTTCTTATAGGATGCGTTCGGCTGGCATTTTATGATATAATATACAATACTATAAATTACTATGTTTATTACACTACATTTTGACAGTGACTTCCATGAATACAAAATAAATAAAATTAGTACTAAAATACAAAGGAACAATACTGTGGAATTGCGTCACTGAACTCTATGCTCTAATAAACAGATGATGGACAGTTTTTTAGTCAAGTTTTGTTGTGAGTTTGAAACGGAAAAGCGACACTAAAAAGACAAATATTAGATTACAAATATTAGTAGGATTCATCCTGCAAGAGAATGAGATAAAATAGAGTATACGAGTTTCACTTCTACCTCGTGTGAACTGCACACATGTTTTTTATTTTTAAAATATTTTTAATAATAGCATGAACATTTTACATTTCGTCGCCTGACATACAAAACCGCGATTGTGAAAAGGTGTAATTAAAACTAAATTATGTTACTTCAGAACAGCAAAGTTCGCTTTACCATCTTCGGTTCCATCACTTATCATCAGGCAGGATAGTAGTCAAGCATTGGCTTATAATAATTAAAGTGAAATATTTAAAAAAAACTCCGTACTGGTAGAACTGGAAGAGCTGGCGATATGATACTTATAGCATTTAATAATACTATTTATTCATTTTAATTAATGAAAATTTAAATTATATGAAAAGAGGCCATATTGTACTATTTTGCTGTGATTTTTTTCATTTTTACAAAGGTTCATAAATATCTAACTAAAACTATCTAAAAATTAGGAACCTCGTGTCAATCAAAGGCACATTTTTGGGCAGACAACCTAGTTGGGGTATCTGAAGAACAAGAGGCGGAGAGGGGGGAGGGGGTTTGATTCGTATTTTAGATTTCTTGAGACAGCTAAATACATAAATCTTCTAATGCTCTATATATAACAATCTATTGCTGTCCATTAGTCTCGCAGAAACTCGAAAATGGCTCGACCAATATTGATGAATTTTTTTGGGTGTATTTGATTGGATTCCTGGATGGTTAAAAACTCAATTTGACCCGGAAGATGACGCTATTGTCAAGATCCAAAAATCACGCGTACAAAGGCATAGCGGATCGCTAATAAAATATAAAAATGTTTTTAATGCAAACAAACTTTAATGTAATGGATAGAAGATAAAAAACCCAATTATCTTTATTAACGAGTAGGAATGAACGGGAGAAAATATAAATTATTGTTGTTCTTCAGAATCCTCCAACACCATATAGAATAAATTATTTCCATGGCAAGAAGTAGGACAAGAAAAATATTTACTACTAATTATCGAGTATTCTATCGAAATGCGAAAAGAGATCTACAGAATGATATAATTCCCTAACAAAGATGTTAAAGGGTTTTTGATTTAATAATATATAACTAATAATATTTATAATATAATATTTTTTATATTATATTAATAATATAATATATAAAAATAAATTATATTCACCCTTATTGACACAAAATCCTAAAAATAAACTTTTTTTAAATTTTCTATTAATATTCTATTAAAAAATAAGAAAATATCTTATCTAAATGAATACATAATATTATAACAAAGCTAAAAGAATTTTGTGCTTTGGGTTTTTTTTTGGTTAAAATGTCCTTTACCAGTCTCGAAGAAATGAATGACACAAAAAATTAAGATAAACTGACATAAACCAATATTCATTAAGGTTATGGTACTAAAAAAATCACAGAGCACAAGGTCATGCGTTACATGTAAAACTTATTGTTTAATGTTAATGTAATAAATCATTTACAACATTACTATTTACTAAAACAGCATTCCATTTTAGTCCTCAGAGGTAACAAATCAGCATTTTGATTCGTAGCAGAGAATAGATGTGATTGTCTACGGGCTACAGCATCTACTTACTATCAAGTGGACTGCGTGCTTGTTTGTCACTTTTATACTATTAAGAACACACAATACTCCTTAAATAATTCGCCCAAGGCCAAAAATCACAACCCATTGTACAGATGTTTCATTAGACTTGCTTCTCTCGAGATATAACTTTGAAGAAAACTATGTCATTTATTTCTTCCAAACCAAAATAATATACGTTGACAAGACTCATTGATACTCTATTAATAGGAATGTACAAGTCTTATTGATATATTGCACACCTTCTTGCGTTTTAGTCTGAAGATAAAATTATAAGAAAGCTGCCCTTTGTTATTTTTTAGGTTTTTTTAATGACGCTATATACTCTGAAATGATAAACAGAAAAATAAAATAAAATGATCATACATGGTTAACAAAATAACATAAAAAGAAGTCAAAAACAAAGCATAACAAAACCAAATAAAAAATTATAAAAAGAAATCCTTGTCTTAAAAACAGTTAATATAAGATTTAAAAAAATAATTAAAGTTGATCAATTCTAAACAGACTATACTACAAATTCTTTTTTAGTCAAATAGGCTAATGGAACTGAACAACTCATACTGACTATTAACACAAAAAATGTGGCATCGCCCAGCAGTGGGAGACCGTACATATACATGTTAAATATATATTATGATTAGTAATGATGTATACAAAATTATACTAAAATATAAACTTACCATCGATAGTTCCGAATTCCCTCTCGTGAGCTCGAGTTAGAACTTGCTTGTACAGTGTTTCAGCCTCTTTGTATTTGCCCTGAAAAAATAGTATCACGATAAATTATCAAAATTCTTATAATATGTTTATACCTTTGTTATACGTGGTAGAGCCATGCTGCTGTTATATTAGTAGTATAGTTGTAGCACGAATGGGTCGGCTCGACCGGGGAAGGACCACGCTCTCACAGAATACCAACGTAAAATAGTAGCCTAATGCGGCTGTGTTTCGTATGGTGAGTGTAGAGAACATGAAACTCTTTTCATTGGAAACGAGGCATGCATCCTCCCATCTTAGTCCTCAAGGGCGACAATGCATCTGGATTTTGATTCGTATACGAGGATAGAGGTAGATGTCTATGGGCCACAGCAAACACCCATCAGGTGGACTGTGTGCTCGTTTGTCATGCTATCCTATAAAAAAAACCTTTAAAGTAGAAAATTATATATTGCTTTGATTATAGCTTGGCACGAAATGATGTCATAACTAATGGAGAGTACTTATTTCCTTTTTTTAAATATTCATAATAACTAAAAAAACTAGATTTTTTAGAATATGCAAATACATAATTATCTCTCAATGTAGTTAATATTATACAGAAAAACTTTTTAGCTCGATTCTATTCAAGACATCCAATTACTACGAGAGTAATAATTATGTGTTTATGTTATATATAATTACTCATAGTTTAATTTCAGTCACTAGCATCAATTATTATAATCACCATCATCACTACAGCTCTACAGCCATTCACAAGTCCACTACTGAATGCTGCACTAAGGTCTACCCCAAGGAATGCCACAAGGCACGGTCCTAAGCCACCACCTGAATCCATAGACTTTCTGCATGTCTTACTAGATTGTAACTCCATCTAGATTTCGCTTATCGGTACGAGGCTGCTATAAGAGCTTTCTTTTCCATCATTTCTCAGTTCGTAGTTATATGATCGACCCCCTGCGACTGCCACTTCAGCTCTCCGATTCCTTGAGCTATTATTCTTAGTTTAGTTTCTTAGTTTATTTTTAAAAAACGTTACCTCCACACTAGGATTTTCTCCTGTATCGTGGGGTCAGTTTACAAACATAAGTAGCCCATACAAATTCTTGTTCCGTACGGGATTCGAACCCGCGGCCCTAAGCGCTGTAACTTATCCCTAAGCCACTGCGTCACGAAGCCGTCGTATTATTGCTTGGCGGATAGCCCGTTATGCGACCTTAAGCTTCCAGTAAGCGCATCCACAACTTTTTTCTGTCACCAGAGCGGCATCACTTTTTATATAGGATAGGGTGACAAACGAGCACACAGTCCACCTGAGGTAAGTGGTTGCTATGGCCCATAGACATCTACATCTATCCTCGATTACGAATCAAAATGCAGGTGCGTTGTCACCCGTGAGGACTAAGATTGAAAGTCTCGTTTTCAGTAAAAATTGTCTCCGGTTCTCTACACTCACAATATGAAACACCTGGTCCGTGATCGTGTGGTCCTTCCCTGGTTGAGCCGACCCATTCGTGCTACAATTATACCAGTAATATAGATGCAGCATGGCCCTACCACATATAAAATTCAAACTTAGGAATGGGGTGAAATATTTGACAAATTTTAATGGCGGAGCAAGTCCATTTGTTTAGAATATAAAACCGTTAAACTTTCTTTCTGAAATATTAGTTATTTTTATATTAGTTTAATTAGAAATGAATAAATCAAACCACGGATATTTTTAAAAGTAAAAAATATTTTAAGTTTAAAAATGTGAAAAGAATTAAAGGGCAAACGAATGGCATTTTTTGTGTATTTATATACTCTTGAAACCGATATTTTGTTATTTCAAACGCGAATTCTCAAATAAAATGACATTGTGTAACATATTACTTCACCTCAACCCCAACTTACGATACCTGGTAAGCGGAAGATCATAAACCCTCATTAAGCAATACCATGTTTCAAATTATTATTAATAATTGTTTTAAAAAAGGTTTGATCTTAGCTATCTTAAGTTATATTATGCTAATAACACTGACTTTACAGGTCAATCTAGTTAGAGACACTTACCTGTTTGAGATAGCAGGAAGCGAGGTTGTTCTTTGTTTTGGCGACGTTAGGGTCATCGGGGCCCAGCTTGCTTTCGTAGATCTCCAAAGCGCGCTGGTAGTACTGCTCCACCTCCTCATACTTGTTCTTCAGTGATTAAAAAAAATTACAATTAAGGGAAATTCGTTTAGATGTCACACAGACTATCAAAAATCGGTTTTGAAATAAATCGAATATATGAAAATCACGTAAATATGTATTGGATTTTTATTGGCAAAATATGGATTGCGTGCCAGCCCTTTATTATCAGCTGTTATTCTGAAGAAAAAAAATTGGAAATCAAAAATAGTATCTATTGACACCAAGATTGTGGCAACACTACTGTCTGTCATCCTTCTGTTAGTAAGTCATTTTGAACCGCTTTCGTTCAGTTTTTGTTACTTGTAAAGGTGCGAGACGTCTTATACTACGCCGGACAAGCTTGACGATTATGGTCTTCCCTACTATGCCCAGAACTTTTACGGGTTGATGAGTATTGATTGGCAGATATCGCATGTCGGCTGAGTTTACGTGCGGGCCGCGTGTAGATGTAATAGCAGGCGTGGCAGGTGTGGCGGCCGGCACCTGGTTCTGGCAGAGCAACGCCAGGTTGTTGAGCTGCTTGGCCACGTCGGGGTGGTCGCGGCCCAACACGGCTCGCGTTACTTGGCTGCACACAACATTACTATATGCGTTCACATAGCAGCACCTGGTTCTGGCAAAGCAGCGCCAGGTTGTTGAGCTTCTTGGCCACGTCGGGGTGGTCGCGGCTCAGCACGGCTCGCGGTAATTAACTGCACACAACATTACTATATGCGTTTACGTAGCAGCACCTGGTTCTGGCAGAGCAGCGCCAGGTTGTTGAGCTGCTTGGCCACGTCGGGGTGGTCGCGGCTCAGGACGGCTCGCGGTAATTAGCTGCACACAACATTACTCTATATGCGTTCATGTGGCGGCACCTGGTTCTGGCAGAGCAGCGCCAGGTTGTTGAACTGCTTGGCCACGTAGGGATGGTCGCGGCCCAGCACGGCTCGCGGTACTTAGCTGCACACAACATTACTATATGCGTTCACGTAGCGGCACCTGATTCTGGCAGAGCAGCGCCAGGTTGTTGAGCTGCTTGGCCACGTCGGGATGGTCCAGCGGCCCAGCACGGCTCGCGGTACTTAGCTGCACACAACATTACTATATGCGTTCACGTAGCGGCACCTGGTTCTGGCAGAGCAGCGCCAGGTTGTTGAGCTGCTTGGCCACGTAGGGGTGGTCGCGGCCCAGCACGGCTCGCGGTACTTAGCTGCACACAACATTACTATATGCGTTCACGTGGCGGCACCTGGTTCTGGCAGAGCAGCGCCAGGTTGTTAAGCTGCTTGGCCACGTCGGGGTGGTCGCGGCCCAGCACGGCTCGCGGTACTTAGCTGCACACAACATTACTATATGCGTTCACGTAGCGGCACCTGGTTCTGACAGGCAGCGCCAGGTTGTTGAACTGCTTGGCCACGTCGGGGTGGTCGCGGCCCAGCACGGCTCGCGGCACTTAGCTGCACACAACATTACTATATGCGTTCACGTAGCGGCACCTGGTTCTGGCAGAGCAGCGCCAGGTTGTTAAGCTGCTTGGCCACGTCGGGGTGGTCGCGGCCCAGCACGGCTCGCGGTACTTAGCTGCACACAACATTACTATATGCGTTCACGTAGCGGCACCTGGTTCTGGCAGAGCAGCGCCAGGTTGTTTAACTGCTTGGCCACGTCGGGGTGATCGCGGCCCAGCACGGCTCGCGGTACTTAGCTGCACACAACATTACTATATGCGTTCACGTAGCGGCACCTGGTTCTGGCAGAGCAGCGCCAGGTTGTTGAGCTGCTTGGCCACGTCGGGGTGGTCGCGGCCCAGCACGGCCTCGCGGATGCACAGCGCGCGCTTGCACAGCGGCTCCGCCTCGCGATACTTGCCTGCACACAGGATAACATAAGTATAACTAACTAAAAGACAACAGATGAATCGAAGACTGTGACGTCACGAGTTAAACAACATCGCGGTTAGCGTTTTCACGCGAATATTTAAAACGATAGATTAAAAGCAAATTTTATGGCACTATTCGGTTTTAAAAATTATATAAAAATTATAGTGATTCATTATCACTCTAGGATTCATTTTAAGCAAATTTTTGAAAATGGGTAATATTATTTGTAGGCAAGCGCAAGCGACTGAAACAGTACTGTCAAGTTTAGCTTAATCCAGGCCGTCAAAAATTTTGCGCAACGTTGCTTATGAAAAAATAAGCTTTATAAGAACAATTTCGACAAAAATGTTATTTTATTCATATTATTTTTTCAGATATTTCAGATAGGTTCAATGGGTGAAATTACTTGGGAATATAGACCTGGCAGATGTACCAATTAAAAAGCTTCACATGTTAAAACATATTTGCGGCAAACATTGCAAATCCGAAGATTCAAACCCAACCAAAACGATTTGTTATTCCATCAGTGGACTTAAGGTTTCCACAATTATACATAAGCACTCACGCCTGTCACCCAGAGGGGTAGGCAGAGGCTACAGACTTCCATTTGGCACGATCCTGACACACCTCTCATGCTTCCTTCACATCCATACACCTACGCATACATGCTCGTCGGTTAAGGGTACTCCTAATTTGGCCCGTTTTCAATAAATCGCCAATTTGGTCGATAAATTTTCGCCCAGGACGTCCCTTTCCGACTCTGCCATTCACTTCTGCACCATAAATTTTCTTTGTCACTCTTTCCTCATTCATTCTTTCCACATGACCAAACCACCGAAGCATTCCTTTCTTAATCCTGGTCACAACATCATCTTGCAGACCACACTCTTCTCTTATTACACAATTTCTTACCCTGTCATTCAGATTCAGCCCTAACATACTCCTTAACGACTGCATTTCTACTGCGTTTATTCTACTCTCGTGCTTCTTCTGCCACACCCAACTTTCACTACCATACGTTAAAGTAGGGACCAACACAGCATTGTGAATTGCCATACGTGCGTTTTTCGACACATTTTGACTCTTCACAATAGAGTGCAAGGCCCCATTTACTCTATTTCCCGCATTCACTCGTCGTTCTATATCCTTATCATATCTCCCATCCCTGCTAAATACGCAGCCCAAATATACAAACTCATCTACTTGCTCGATCAACTCCCCTTCTATTCTTATTTCACAAATCGTTTTACTTTCTTCTCTTTCAAAAACCATAACCTTCGTCTTACTTGCGTTCACTTTCATACCTCTTTCTTTTAATGATCCGTTCATTAATGTAACCATCATTTGCAACTCGGCCGCCGACGACGCAAGAATAACTTGATCATCGGCGTACAAAAGGCATTTGACGGTTAACTCACCCATTCTTAATCCGCATTCTTCAACTTTCAAATTTTGCAAACACCTGTCCATAAATAGGTTGAACAGCCAGGGGGAAGCCACACAGCCCTGTCTGACACCTTTATGGATGTCAAACCAGTCCGAGTAGACCCCGTTGATCCTAACACAAGCACTAGAGTCCCTATAAAGAGACTCCAATGTCTGTATCAAGCCAGCGCTCAACCCAAATGAGTTCAGTGTTTGCCATAGCAAATCCCTATCCACTTTGTCATAGGCCTTTTCCAAGTCCATGAACGCACAAAAAACCTTTTGGTTTTTGGCCAGAAACTTCTTCGCGATCATGCGCATGGAAAAGACTTGATCTGTACATCCCATTCCCTTTCTAAATCCCGCTTGCACTTCCCAAATTTTTCCATCAGTTTCTTTCATGACCCTTTCAATCAGTACCTTAGCATACAGTTTTCCCACAATGCTAAGAAGGCTGATGCCACGGTAGTTTTTACAGTCCTGCTGCGACCCTCTTCCTTTATATACTGGGACTATCACGGCTTTGCAGCAGTCTACCGGTACCCGCTTCAGTTCCCAGCATAAATTAAACAAGGTGTGGAGCAGACCTGCCACCACTTCCTCTCCAGCCCTTAGCATTTCGAGTGAAACTCTATCATATCCGGCAGCCTTATCTGCTTTCATGCTTTTCATTGCTTTCATTATTTCATCTATACTTATCTCGCTACCTCTTTCCTCTTCTTTCGGAGTTTCTACTTCATTTAGTACACACGTTGTCTCCTCACTCATAAACACGCTTTCAAAATATTCCTTCCATCTCTTTAAACTCAAAACTTCATCATTCAGAATATTGCCATTCTCGTCTCTTATAGCATTCATCATAGGCTGTTATGAATGTCCCCTGGCAGTTCTTACAAGTTTCCAGAACATTTTAATTTCCACAATTATGTGTAAGATAAATAGATTACATGTAGTAAAAGATAATATCTACAGTCACATTTTGGTAAATGTGACTGTAGATATTACAAATTAAATAAGTTAAATAAGGTAAATTATGTATTTGTAATTACCAGATTATAAATATTTACTGTTTTTTCTTTTACAGATTCACCTACAAACATTAGCTATAATGAGCACCAATTTTGAAAGCAAATGATCTCTGCGAGTATTATGTACCTCTGTAAAGAAGTCTAGGGATTTGTACATAGTATTTATTACACTCAAAAGCAAATTAATCTAATCAGTGTTAAAGAAAACCAACATTTTCACCCTTTTAAAAAAACGAATGCTAAAAACATGCATCCAGATATGCAGATTATTTAACAGCATAGAAACATTTGTTCAGTTCGGGAACAAATCCTTGGCTTCCAGTGCTGCAGCCAAACGCTTAACCACTGCGCTACATAGTCGTCATTTATTTTTTACTTAATTAATTACTAGTATCATTTTGCGTTGTTTGTTTTAATATTTAATCTATTTTTTTTACCTAATAATTGTGGATATATAATTACAAATTTCTGTGTGTTTGTGTGTTTCAAATACATAGATTTCTTATCCTGATCGGCATTTTTACTCAATTCTCAGTAGTATAGCGACCTAACTTTAATTAGGTATATAAAAATATCGATAAACAATATATCGATATAATTATTCGAGTATATACATTTATAGCACTTGTACACTTCGCCTATGTTGTGAGCACTGTTTTAAAAAAAATGTCATGTCTTGATGTTGGTAGGGTAGTTTGGCGCCCTTTCATACATTTACTAAGGGAGTCCCGCCTCCTAAACGTAGTGATTATAATTATCTTTGGTTAAACATAGACCTCCCTATTGATTATTATAAAAGGATATTTGAAATAGTAGTGGGCGATCGCAGTTTCTTATTTATTATTATCTATTTATTATCGGAACAACGCTACTGCCCATTTTCTGGTTTGTTTCTCTGTCGCGTCTTACGACGTGGATATTCTTTCACCGCCATTACACGGTAAAATCACCCAATTTTACTTTAACACTAGTAACGCTCGCTATAAATTTTATAGTACGCGTACTCGCGTTCGATGCCCGTCGGCACCACTCAAATTGTTAATTGAAATTTCAAGTGCTGATTTACCACGTGCGTGAAAACATCGTGAGGGAAACCTGTGCATGTCTAAGAAATAAGAAAAAAAAATATTTCGAAGACACGTGAAGTTCGCCAACACGGATTGGGACAGCGCGGTGAAAGTTTCCTTGTCCCGATACCGGTAACAGAAATGGCAACATTCTTCCCCTGTGCCCGGTAGTGGGACGCATATAGGATGTAACTAATATCAGTGATTGTAAGCGTAAATGAAAAAAATATATAGAAATAGAATGAAACTAACCAATCCAAAGCCAGTCGCAACATCTACATTTTTGATATTATATTACAAAATTCATAGAATTGCCTTTACAAATGCCTTATTTCTAAAATATTATAATCAGCGATTAGGTATCAGTTGCAATTCTTGGTCGTCCCAACTCTCTTCGAGATAGCAACCTCGAAATGGCGGAAAATAGTCTAACTTGACAACACTGGGACAATAACAAGGAGAGTGCAGAAAGAGAAGGCATGACTGCGCAAGAGGAACGTGCACCGCATAAAAAATCTGGTCATCAAAATTACTCACCGAAAATTATTTAAGGCAAATAATTATTTTAAAGCTTATTACGTACCGCGTTTGCCATACAGCACGGCAAGATTGTTAAGGGTTGCTGCAACGGCGGGGTGGTTTTCGCCCAAGGTCTTCTCACGGATAGAAAGAGCATCGTTTAGCAGATTTGCAGCCTCCTTGTATTTATTTTGGTCTCTGTAACAATAATAATATTGAAGATGTTCTTTTCAATAAACCTAATGGCAATATATTGAATTTTCATACCAAAATCATTACTCTGAACTCCTTTTGGCCATTTTTCACCTCATGAGTCCATTATATTAAGAGTTTAAATAAACATTTGCATATTTAGTACAAAATATCGAGACTATTTATAATGTCCGTAATCATGTGATGCCAAATTCACTCCTCCGTCTTGAGTGGCACTATTTGTCTGTAGAATTATGCGACTGTAGTTTACAGACTACATAAAATATACGTTCCTCCCCCAATATACCTACCAAATACAATATATATACAAAGTACTCAATAAAAAAGTTATACTCAGGCTAAAAAGAAAGAAAAACGGAGTGCTGCGTATATTTCAAGTGACGCAAAAACCAAGCCAAAACCATGCTATACTTATTGTAACACACACAAATCACACACACTTATGGATCCGAAATAATTTTCAATTCATTTAATGTTTTTAGGTTTATATGTATGCAACCAGCACATATAAATCATTAAAATCAATAATTATTCGCATTTATTATTTAGTTTTATATTTTTATACATACGAGGTATCTAACGCGTTTGCAGCATCTATGTTCATGGACTACGTGAATATGTTGGTAAATATCCTGCTATAACCCATTTCTTGATAGGAATAAGCGATGGTAGCCTAATGGCAGGGCGCGTACCGCGAACTCAAATAGGTCGTGGGTTCGAATCCACCGTTCGACTACTGGTGTGAACCGCTTGTAACACAAGCAATTTAAGCTTACCACGAGTGGTTAATATTGTGGTAGGAATATTAGTAATGTTTGTAGAATTGTTAATATTCTTTTTTTTCAATAAAAAAATAAAAATAAATAAATCAGAGTTCCTTTGCGAGGATTGCTGGTCAATCAAAGCTGGTAATAACTGGATAATCGTGAACATGTGGAATTCTCTGCGTTTAATCCTCACCTTGAAAGAATTATTTATGTACATAATGTGTGTGATATACAAATAAATAGTAAATTCCTTTACTATTCAAGCAACACTACTCTCGAATTCCTTTCCCAAAAACGTAACAAGAGCGCTAGGTTGTTTTATTTGGTATATGACTTTTTATTTAAATAAAGCAATGTGTAAGAATGATCATGATAGATGATAGGTAGATGTTTTATTATTTGCAATTTAAGTGTATGTGTTCTATTATAATATGTAACATATATTATACATATATGTTTTGTTTATATATTAACATACATTATACATGTGTATAGATTTTGTATATTATAGTATGTATGTAATTGCACCTGGCATAAAGTCAACACTCCACGGGTGGACTAGCGATGGTCAGTAGGCATTAAGTCCACCCATGTCGCCCTACTGCTTAAGGTATTAACAATAAAGATTAAATGAATATGAGAGTTAACCTGTAGACGAGCGCGAGGATGTTCAGCATGGTGGCGACGTCGGGGTGATCGTGGCCCGAGGTCTTCTCCAGGTCCTCGAGCGCTTGCTTGCAGAGCGGCACGGCCACCTCGTAGCGGCCCTGCGACGCGTACTGGATCACCAGGTTGTGCAGCGTGCGCAGCCGCGCCGGGATCTCGTAGCCCGCCGTCACCTGCGCCGCGAACTGCGACGGCGGCGTCGGCGACATCGCTGCACGCACACACGCACGCACACGCATTACACACGTCGCAGCTCCCGCAACCACACACACACATGTACGTCGGGAGTAAAACAGAGAGGGAGCTCCTCTCCCCTGCCCTACTCTTAACTTTTTAATTACGCCAGTAATAATCTCAAAAAACCTGACGAATAGCCTTCATCATCATCATCATTACATCCCTTCATAAGTCCACTGCTGAACATAGGCCTCCCCCAAGGTATGCCACAAAGCGCGGTCCTGAGCCACCTGTATCCATCGACATCCTGCATGTCTTACCAGGTCGTCACTCCATCATCTACATGACGAATAGCCTTAATCGAATCTTTTTACAGCAATAAATTTGAATAATTTTCCAGCATCTGTCACTATCACATTGTTCAATTACAATTAATAATGTGTCCTCGAAACAAAGAATAAATTATTGTATATATGTTAAGCTAAATCATTACAATTTACCGTCATCGACTACATAAGCAATGAGGGCAGCATCCATGACTTTTTCGGCCACCACTTTGAAATAACATGAAATATTTGACAGGTTTCATAGCGGAACAAATTAAAATGTTAGAAAAGTGGCGAAATTAATGTATATTTCTAAAATATAACCTATATTTTATATTAATATAATTAAAACGAACAAACCAAACTCCAGATAGGACAAAAGAAACAAAAAAATAAAAGAGAGTTAAAAATGTTAAAAATAAAAACTAAAGAGCAACTTAGACATTGTTTTGTGCATTTAATTTTATACACTAGAAACCAAAAAAAACCTTTATTCAAAACGCAATTTCTCACATAGCAGTGTCAGTGTAATCATCATCATCATCATCACAGCCCTTCACAAGTCCACTGCTGAACATAGGCCTCCCCCAAGTAATGCCACAAAGCACGGTCCTGAGCCACCTGCATCCATCGACTTCCTGCATATCTTACCAGGTCGTCACTCCATCTAGTGGGGGTCGCCCTACACTACGCCTACCGGTACGAGGCTGCCACTCGAGAACCTTTCTTCCCCATCGGTTATCGGTTCTTCGAGCTATATGGCCGGCCCATTGCCACTTCAGCTTACTAATCCGTTGGGCTATGTCGGTCACTCTGGTTTTACTGCGGATATCCTCATTTCTGAGTCTATCACGCAGAGAAACTCCGAGCATGGCCCTCTCCATAGCACGCTGAGCGACCTTGAGCGTCCTCATACGGCCAGCAGTGAAGGACCATGTCTCTGATCCGTAAGTCATCACTGGCAACACGCACTGGTTGTACACTTTAGTTTTCAGAGATTGAGGTATACCTGACGAGAAGATGTGTCGTAATTTCCCGAACGCTGCCCATCCGAGTTGAATCCGTCGATTGACCTCTCGGTCGAAGTTGGACTTACCTAGTCGGACTATTTGTCCCAGGTAAACAAACGTACTCGTCAACAACATCGAGCATAGTGCTCCCAACAACTACCGGCATAGGTGTGACATGGACATTAAACATGATCTTTGTTTTGTCCATGTTCATCTTAAGACCTATCTGTTGGGAGGCACTATTGAGGTCATTGAGCATAGTGCTTAAGTCCTCCAGCGATTCTGCCATAAGGACTATATCGTCGGCAAATCGAAGGTGAGTGATGTACTCGCCATTGATGTTAATACCGTATCCTTTCCAGTCCAGTAGCTTGAAAACGTCTTCCAAAGCAGCGGTGAAGAGTTTCGGGGATATAACGTCACCCTGTCTTACACCTCTCTGCAGTTGGATAGGTTTCGAGCTCTGATTCTGTACTCGGATAGCCATCGTAGCCCTACTGTACAAACACTTCAGCACTTCGATATACCGACAGTCAACTTGGCACCGCTGAAGGGACTGCAGCACCGCCCAAATTTCGACGGAATCAAAGGCTTTCTCATAGTCCACATACGCCAGGCAAAGTGGCAAATTGTACTCTTCAGTCTTCTGTACAATCTGCCGCAGGGTATGTATGTGGTCTATGGTACTGAAGCCTTTTCGGAAACCGGCTTGTTCGGGAGACTGGAAGTCGTCGAGTCTGCGTGCGAGACGATTCGTAATGACTCTCGAAAACAGCACGTAGACGCGGCTCAGAAGGGAAATCGGTCTGTAGTTATTCAAGAGAGCGTTGTCGCCTTTCTTAAAGAACAAGACCACCGCACTTCTGCTCCACGCCTCTGGAGTAGTGCCACCATGGAGGACGGAATTGGAGAGCTTGTGAAGGACTTCAAGTACCGGTGTTCCACCCGCTTTCAGAAGCTCCGCTGTAATTCCATCCTCGCCTGGGGCCCTGCCGTTTTTAAGGTGCTGGAGAGCCATTCTAATCTCGCTTAGACTGACGTCCGGGATATCATCGGAATAGTGTCGGATAAGTAGTGTCAGTGTAAAGTAACAAATAACTTCATCTTATCCCCACTAGCGACATCTGTAAGCAGTAAAGTAAAGTTAAGTTACAGCCTATATACTTCCCACTGCTGGGCACAGGCCTCCCGTCATTTCTGAGAAGGTTTTAGGGCAAGGAAGTGTCCGCCGCGCTACCCCAATGCGTGTTGGCGAACTTCACATGTCCTCGAAATATTTTATTTTCTTATTCCTCAGACATGCAGGTTTCCTCACGATGTTTTCCTTCACCGCCGAGCACGTGGTAAATCAGCACTTAAAATTGCAATTAACAATTTAATTGTTGCCGGCGGGGATCGAACCCGGTTTGCTCGCGTTCTGTTATATTTACAGCTCGCGTTAACCATCTGAGCTACCACGGCTCAGATGGTTAACGCTAGCAGTAAAGGAGACGGTTCATTTCAGGCCCAATGTATGCACACTATAACAGCTAAAAAGGAAAAATTCAGAGATTTTATTAAAAATAAAATAAGAGAATAAATCAAACCAAATAGCTTGCTAAAAATAAAATTATGTAATCCCAAGTTTTCATGGTTTCACAAGATAGCACCTTTCCAGTCATAAAAAGATGCGGTTATTTGTCAAATGTCATTTCTGACATGTGACTTCAGTCATGAATGTCATGAAATGTAGATATTTTTATACCGGGTGTTAGTTAAACACCGTTATCCTTGAAACCAGTGGTTTGGTTTCACTTATAGAACGTAAATTTAATGAAAAACAACATTTTTTAATACTAATTAATAAATTGAGATTTTACGTGTTATTATATATATATATATATATATATATATATATATATATATATAAAGCTTTATTCCATCTAGACTCTATTACTACCAATCCAATCTATAAAGATTGTTTTTGCTGACATATATTTAGCCTCATTCTATCAACACTCACATTTGTTATTCCTATTGTCGTCGTGCTCGTCGTCGGGGAACAGATCGACCATGGGGTCGTCGCGCTTATTGTCTGTCTGCCCGCCGCGGTTATTCTCCGATTCCTCGGTCACGTCACTGTCGTATTTGCTGTCGAAAAAAGTTAAGCACCGTTAAATTTTACAACTATTTTAATCAAACACACACTAACGAACACAGTCCACCTGATGGTAACTAGATGCTGTGGCCCATAGACATCTACATCTATAATATCTACTACATCTATAAATAAATTTTGTAAATATTTTGTGATCCTTGACATTGTAAAATTTATTTTTAAAAAAAAGTCCCGCTGGGTTTCTTGCTGGTTCTTCCCAGGACAGAGGTTTTTTTTTCGAACCAGTGATACGTAACGTAAAATATTGACTTTCAATAAGAATTACTTGTAATCTATATTGAATAAAAAATTATTCTATTCTATTCTACTCATGTTTAATTAAAAATCAAAATGTAGATACGTTGTCATCCCTGGAGACTAAAATGGAATATGGAATGCCTCGTTTATGTTAATAAAGGTCTCCGGTTCTCTACACTCACGATACGAAAAGAATAGGAATACGATACACAGCAGCATTTAGCTGCTATTTTACTCTGATAGTATGTGAGAAGTGAGAAGCGATAGATTGTGAGAGCGTGATCCTTCTCGGTTGAGCGGAATCATTTGTATTAACAACTATAATTTACATTATACGATAGATAGCAGTAACATTTTATGTTGCACATAATAAATTTTGTGCTTTATATCTGTTATTGCGTTCTGGAGGTTCATTGTCTAGTCGAGATCCATTTGATATGAAATAATATAGTAAATTATATTAATAGCTGCTGCTTAATATTTGTTTTGTTAGTGTAATTTGTTTCATGACTAGGAATTATTTAATATGTAAGTAACAATATTATAATAAATACGAGGGTTTGAAAAAGATAAAAAAGAGCGCTATTGCCCTGATATAACATCAAGAAATCTATATTATTTATCACCCACAATAATATGTTTATGTGTCAAGTGAAACAGTTGTAGTCGTAGTAATTTCTGACTAGTCCGTACTTAACTGACTAGAGGGCGAACTGAAAACTAGCTCCGTGATAATATACCACGAAATTATACTGAGTGTAGTTGTTATAATACCAATATATACCAAACCCTTTATATACCAAACTCATAAGGTTTATGTTGGCACTGCTTTGATTATATATAGAAATTAGTTTTATTAGTTCTGTAGCTCTATATATTGATAAGTCTATTATGCTTTTTGTAACATGTATTGGCGATCGATTTAATAAATTATTCTTTCTTTAAAAATAACATCTAGAATATTACCGTATAGAGGCCATAAAGTCCAGGTGTTTATTCTCCTCCTCCAGCTGTGCGACACGTTGCTCAGAGGCCTGCAGGCGTTGCTGCGCCGCGGCCAGTTCATCTCGAAGCCACGCATTCTCCTGGCATAGACGTCGAACTTGTGTGCGCAACTTCTGCTTCTCTGCCTCCACCGACTGCAGATGAGAGGCTAATGCCATCATCACCTGAAACAATAATTATTCACTCTTTATTTTTTATTGTAGCCGTCAAGACAAAATTAAACAACTAAAAAATGAGCATGTGAAGTTAGTTATTTACAGTTTTTTTTCTCCCTTTATTTAGGACAACAAACTATTATACTAATAGCTTAATTTATAAATTAAACATTTAAATTTCCTATAGTACAACCATGTATCCACGAATGAGTTGGTGCTTGATCCGTTTACACAAACTAACGAATATAAGCCAAAAAAGAACAAAGAGTGAGCTAGATAACTGTTAAAATCATAGATGTATTATAGTATTCTATGGTTGAGTAAAAAATAAATAAATAGAGGAACAACATCGCTATTTTATTAATTAGCACATTCATTTTTCTACGTGGTAGAGCCAGTTTGCAGCTTTATTATGGTTGTAGCACGAATGGGTCGATTCGACCGGGGAAGGACCACGTTCTCTCAGAATACAAGCGTAAAATAGCAGCTTAATGCTGCTGTGTTTCGTATGGTGAGTGTGGAGAACCGGAGACTCGTTTTACTGGAATCGAGGCATTTCATCTTAGTACTCAGAGGTAACAACGCATCTGCATATTGATTCTTAAATCAAAGTTAAGTGTAAGATGTCCATGGGCCACACAGCATCCACTTACCATCAGGTGGACTGTGTCCTTGTTTGTCACCCTTATTCTATAAAAAAAATTATTTCAATTTCTAATTTTATTATAGTTTCTACTTTTCCCTTTATATATTTTATTTTCAAAGCAATAAGTAAAATATTACAGAATTTTTTTTCTACCACGATATACTAAATATAAAGAAAATTAAACGAAGTTTCATAATCTACCAATAGACAACGAAACTTATGTCGCCGCGTAGACGGTAAAATTACGTTACGATAATGGGTGACAAGTTTTTATGACAGCCAACCAAAGTTCACCCTACTGCCCCCTTCGTTAAGAGGTAGGTATGCCCCCGAGGTAATAAAAAAGTTTTTAGTAATAAACTCGAAGTTTCTAACATGTTCATTTTATATATTCGTGTGTCACTAACACGCGTTCTATTATATATAACAATTGTTTTTTACATGTATTTTTTATAGAATAAGACTGACAAATGAGCACACAGTACACCCTGATGTTTATTTACACCGTTTACACCATAGACATTTTTTTCATCTATGCATTTTGATTCTTAATCGAGGATATAATATGTCTATGGTACCACAGCATCCATAAGTATGTACTGGATGACCTTTTTTACCGTCTGGAAAAAAATAGGGTATAACATGTGAACGGAGTAGAAGCCTATGGCACTGACATTTTACAAAAAATATAAACAAAAATGTTAAATTGAATATATAAATTAATTAAAATATCGAAATTCAAATCAATGGCAATAAAACAATAAATTTATTAGGCATCTTTGACCTTGTCACTTTTGCAGGGTTACAGGCTAAAGGGCAAAGAAACTGGTAAAAAAAATTTTGAAATGTTTAATTCATAACTCTTGTTTTTATTTTTTTGTAAAATATCAGTGCCTTAGGTTTCCACTTAGTACACATGTTACACCTTATTTTTTTCCAGACGGTAGAAAAGGTTATCTAGTATATTCAAGCAGTATAAAGTATACATTCTAACAATACTTGTCCAGCTGGCAACGTATGCGTGAGGAGCGCGGATTTTTTTGATATTTCCGGCCTAGTTTAGGCTTAGACATAGTTACAATTATGGAGGAAGTTAAATTCATATATCTTAATTAGAGGTAAATTAAGCCAAATAAAATAAAATATACAGATAATGATTTATGGTCAGAGTCGCACAGAGATTGTCACTCTCAGATGAAAAACGTACATAATATGTTTGTCGCCAAATAATTTTAAAATATTGTCAAGAAATAGATACTGACAGATTGACTGAATGAGCCATAGATTTATATATTACACATAACTCAATGGAATGAGCTGTGAATTTTGTGTGTTTACTGTTCAAAAATCTCTGAAGTGTATATGAATTATCTTTGTTTTATATGTTATTGTGCCGTTGAAAGTAAAATACAGCTTGTTAAATTATACAAATTTAAAAAAAAATTATAAACTTCCGTCGAATTTTGAGCACTTGGTGACCATTGTCCATGATTAAAACAAGTTTAACGAATGTAATATATCATTCAGATCACTATGTAAAGTAAAACAATATATATAAGTATAAGTATATATATATATATATATATATATATATATATATATATATATATATATATTTACGGATATTATCGCGTTTTCTAACTACTTTAACTTATTAAATTCCGACGTTTCGGGTGCTTTACAGCACCCATAATCACGGGGGGGGGAACTGAGGCGTTTTAGCCCAGCCACCTTCAGTTCTTTAATATTAATTTTTGGTGCGATCTACGCAGAACGAGCTTACAGTATCTTGAAGATTTCAGTGGTATGCTTGGGTTTGGATTTAATTTTGTTAATTATAAGATCCTAAGCAGATGTCAGCACCCATCCATCTTCTCTACTGAAATTGTGATGTTTTTAATTTCAATAGCCTCACGTATCATCTTTGGTAAGAATCGGTGTTCTTTTGCGAGGATTTGTGGTTTATCAAATCTGATGTAAGGGTGGGGGACGATTTTGAACATGTTCACAAACTATCAACATTGGGACGTCAAACTTCTGAGTCCCCCCGAGACCATGGGTGCTGTAAAGCACCCGAAACGTCGGAAGTATAAAAATAAGTTAAAGTAGTTAATTTAATCCGTAAAGATAGTTTTATTCAATGTGTAGTTCTCGCGTAAATTTAAGAAATCATTATATGTACGTGTGTATTAGAATTAGGAATTGTAAGAATTACAGTTTTAAAATTACGCGCAGTGAAGGTTTTAAACGAACTGTATCCGTGATTGGTCTTCACCGCTGGTGACAAGAGGGCTGGTTCTTTTCTCGTTCCAAAGGCAGCTAGGATAATTAATTACGTTAATTTAATGTATTGTTTTATAAATAATAATTAAAGGAGACGTTGTATTTTTATTACTTATTATTAGCTAGTTCTTAACCACAATCCCACCTGGTGGTAATAAGTGTCTTATGCTCAAATCAGCAAACGCTACTCAATTTTAAGACGCCATTAAGTCTCGTGCCTTCTCTATCACTTTAAATCAAAGTGTGACTTCTTAAAATTTTGTATGGTTTGGGTATCTGGCCATTAGCGTAATAAATAATGGTAGTAATAAAAATGTGGTGTAGACTACAAGACAATCCATTTGGAATCATCTAAAATGAAAAAGCTCAACAAAACTACAAACAATTCATTAACATCATCTTTCCTCTCTACAAACCTGCAAATAAACAGCGCAAAAAAAACCTACACGTAATAAACACCGGCTTAACTTCCATCTCCCCCAGCCGGCCAAGCCTCAGTGCGTCAACCCCGAAGGCTCTTTGTCCCCACGCTTCAATGAAGCGCAACGCAGCCTTTACTAAGAGCTGCAATTACATTATCATCCTCGCGTTTGTATATGAGCAACTAGTGGTGCGCCTTATAGTATTATCTGCAATCTAATCATACGAAAGAAAGTAACGCTTAAGAATTATAACTTAAATAAAAAATAATTAAAAACCTTGGAAACAAAAAAAACTGATCTCCAAACGGCTGAAAATATTTTCTTGAATCATACCTAAGAACACTCTCGATCAAGTCACCTTTCAAACAAAGAAAACTAAATCTAAATAGATTCCATCGTTTGGGAGTTACGATACCACAGACAGACACACATATACATATAACACGAGGGGTGTTGTTTGTGTCGGGGGTTAAAAACGAATTCCTATTATGTATCGACAAAAATTACTATAAATAAAATGGTGACATGAACCCGATTACGGAAAATCTCTTGTGGTACATCAAGGATGGTGGTTTATTTTAAATTTTTCACGAAAATTTTTAATTTTCAATTCTCGTTAAAAATTTAAAAGGCGCAAATTTTCTCGCCCGGAGCGTCCGCATAGCCAAGGCCGGTTCCGTACGTAATATATAAATGTTACATTATAATATAGTTAAGACATATTCATCTTTATCTTATTTAAATATTATTTCCATGTTATTATATTAACACTTATATTAATCAAATATGTCAGATTAGATTCCTCTGGTTTTCAAGGCTAGTCTTCAGGGATTGGCTCTGGGTATCAGCGGTTTTCAAACAATGTAAGCGTCCATGAGAATCACACAGAAACACCAGTTAACGTATGATGTGTTCGATTCCCGAGTGTTAGATATTATCGGTGTTACGGGTATACTGATATCTTGCAAGATTCCTGTTAGCACCCGTCCCTACCCGTCAAAAAAATTTTAAACGCAAATTAATAAAAATATTTTAGCATTATAAAAGCTGTAAACGACAACTTTGATCATTAACAGGAAAATTTTAAAAGGGTGCGATGAGGCTGGCTTCACTAGAGACGCGCTAAACGCCTATCGACATCTGATCCTGGGAATTATGCAAGATACATTGAGGTGAATACCATATTATTTTTTCAATTCACAAAGTCGAAATCGTGAAAAGAAAGTATTCACTTGGTCTCTTAAAGGAATTACAATTGGTATGTTCATACATAAGTTATTTACTTGCATCTATATTTTTAAACTTTCTATTTTAACTCGAAAGCAAAAAGTAAACTGTTAGGAAGAAGAGTAAATAAATGCTTAGAAACTTTTATGATACACCATCGTTTGATACAGTTTTCTATAGAAGGGAACGCGACCAGCTTAAGTACCTCTCGACTCCTGTGAAGCATTAAAAAGATCTAGGACATTCTTTGCGGCAGAGACTTGTGAATAACGTGACTGTCTTCAAACATGAATCTGGGACGTTTTCTTATATTTTTTCTAACAGTTTCTCAAAAAATCCAGGGGGTTTCGGGGGCAATAAATCGATCTAGCTAGGATTCATTTTTATAAAACGTCGTTTTATCTGTTTTCAGGCAATGAAAAACTGCTATA